GTAGTAGCTCCGCTGCTCATGAAGAGTAAGTAGCCTGAATATGAATATGTACAGTGCACAAATCCATAGCAGTTATAAGAGCTTTGTCACCAAGGTTTCTATAGTAAGCTTAAAAATTTCTGGCCTAAAAATTAGCATTAAACCATGTTCATGCCACTTCAATTCCAGACCCCAGATATGAGAAAACATTCTTTTATTTAATGAAAGCACCGTAACTTTTCAATATAAAACTTCAAAAGCTATACAAGAAACCAGTTAACATTAAAAGAACCATATTTTGAGCTTAATCAAAATTCCAATTCAAGTTAATTGGTGCTTCTTGAATGTATTCAACCTTCCAATGTTCACAAATAGATTGCGGAGGACTGATGAAATTCTAAATATCCGCAATTTTCCTTCACATGAGTTTTTCACCGAACGATAATAATCGCAACCAATCGAGAAGAAAAATGGGTTGTGAGGGTAGAAAGACTTACAGGGATAGGAATTCTACTATTTGGAAAGCAGCGTCTGATGTAAGGAATACATCACCTATTGAGGCACCTTTTTCCTGGAAGTTTTTATACCAAAAATAATAAAGTAAAATAATATGTAAAGAGCTAAATCCTAGAGTGCTATATGCAGAGTGCACAATTCGGCCATCTATCTCCCGGCTGAAGCACACTGGTCAAAATCCTCCAACAATGATTGAGTCTACTACTATATAAAGTTTCCAAGATAGATTAAAGCTCAGAAAAATGTAAAAGCTTCATAATGATTAAGTGTGCGAGGCAGGAAAACAATTCTTGTGACTGATAGAAAAGGCAAATATTTACTGAGAAACAAAGAAGGGGAAAAACTAAATCAAAGAAGAGAAAGAGAATAAACCCTTGGTCACATACACAAGCATAAATAAGTGGCATCACATCCCTTAAAAGAGCAAAGTCGTCAAATTCTCGTTCGTCCAAATTTACCCACGAAATGGTTTCTTTCCCTTCACGTCCAACGATTCTTTCGGTGATGGTGTTCAATAGGTGAATTTTGGTCTTCTATAGCACAAACAAATTGCTTATGCCATTATTTATCTTTTTTACTACTGATTCAAAAGAAATAGCATATAAGAAAAAGAAAGGCTTCATGAAGACATTCTGTTTGATGATCGAAAAAAATTCGATTTGCCAGAAATGAGAAATGTAAAATGTATATATAAAAATGAAGTATATGACCTGCCATTTTGTAGTGCCTGAAGCCAGTGGTTTCGTCGATTTCTCCATTAGGCTTGTCTACTGTGCGCCCATGAGAGGATCCTTTTAGATCAAACCTTCTATGAATTCGATACTCTGAGCAGAACATATTCCCCATCACAATGAACCGGGTCTAATGTGAAAAAGTAATTAATGTGATAATGATTATTTGATGAATAAAGACTATATGATAGCAACAAGTACAACTTACTTTGACACCTCCAACTGGTTTAACACAATGCACGCCGTAGAGGACAACAGTACAATCAATACAGTGTCTAAGTTTCCATCGATTTAAAGATTTATACGATAACTCTTCAAAAAAAAAAATGTGAATTTTTCGGCTGAAAGTAAAAAATTGAGAACCTATATTTAAACCCAAAACTCTAACCATTTTCCTCATATTTCCCCAAGAAATTATTAACCTGCTGATAATGAATTTCTTCATCCGAATCGATATCTCACAGTAAGCACCGTTTCTTAGGTGCATACCTCCATTACATAACAAGGTATGCATATATGCATTTTAACAGGTTGCTTCTCCATGACATATATGTACGCATGTATGCATCTTAACAGGTTACTTACGTACGCATATATGCTTCTTAACAGGTTGAATCTGAATCGATTTTTTTTATTTTTTATTGTTATCATGACATTGACATAAACCTATTTCACGTGTCATCTGCTAAAAGCAAAAAAACTATGGTTTTTTTTTTTTTTTTTTT